GAAGTAATTTTTTAGATTTTATATATACATTTTGAAATAACAAAAATCATAAATTACCATAGAATTCCACTATAATTTAACAAGTTTAGTAACTAAGCTGTATTTGGATCTAAAAAAATATCAAATTTTGAGCTCACAAAAGTTTTACGCTACCACTTGGAATCTAGCATAAAAAGAAAGTTTGTTGAAAGAAATATTTCAAAGAGGCTGAGAAAGCCACTAGGGGGACATTCTGAGCTTTCAGTTGGTTATTCACACATCACAGACAGAAGTAGGTGTACATATGTGTTTCCAAAGATGGAAAGAGGTGGGCGTGGCCACTGTGTTTGAGTCAGTAAATGTAGCGATATCTCAGCAAATAGAAAAGATAGGAGGTTCTTATTTTATATTCTAGCTTGTAAATATCAGTAATTTTAGTTCCTAATTTGTAAGAAATTTTGTAATGACATTGTATTAGGACATCACAAACATGTTATTTGAACCAATGCTGCATTCAACATACTACGTGACACTTAAAAATTTATATTTAGGTGTGTTTTTTTAATGTTACTTTTAAATTAAGTAATGTATAATACTAAAATTTTAATTATAATCTATAATTTGATATGAAACTTATTGACAGAAATTCATAAAATAGTAGTTGAATAATATTTTGAATGTGAGTCAAGAAACACGATGATATGGCCTTTGACCCGTGTCAATAGGGTTAAATCATTCAGTGTGATAACTTAAGATTCACAGCTTTTATTGCAGGGTTATTAGTTAGACATGGTTCAAAGGGCAATAAAACAATAAAATTAAATAGAAACATATGAAGAAACTGTTACAAACCTTAAGCTATTTAAGATAAACAACTCTTACTTTTTGTTACAATGTGCAGTCATTTTAGAAAGAAAAAGGGTCGTTTAGATTTATTTCGTATTTTTTTGTCCATAAGGTTAGTCAAATTGACTGAGTAAGTATACAGTTAGGGGTAGAGAAAATAAATTTTAATGAAAAAAAAGTGATAAATCATTTAACCTTATCACCCCAGGTACCCTTTACTGCACGACACAAAGTTTTAGTGACTTACATTCAAAATTTTATTTAACCACTTTTTATTTATGTTACACCAATTAGAATCATATAAAATCTTAGCTAATAATTCATATTTTAATATTAAGTTCTTAATTCTACAAGGCAATATTTAAAACAAATCCTGAATTTCCACTAGTGTGACCTACGCAACACTTTTTTTTAGCATGTCATCATCACTATTTTATCCACCACCCCTTGAAAAAGTACAAAATTAAACGTAAATTACTCTCTATAAAATTGTTATCGCTCAGACAAACCATACATTTTATAGTCTTCAATTTTGTTTGTTACAGAGCTATCGAATAGAAAATCAGACCCCTCCTGTCACAATTTGTTGATAGTTCTCTCTTACATTTCATTATGTATTACCTATAACCAATAGAAAGTCAAAGTTTTCATCGTCAACTTAACTCGCACTACAAGATTAGTTCCCATGAGAAAGTTAATGACTAGCTTGGATGAATTTGTAACAGCTCTTGTTGCATAGTTAGAAAGTCAGAAAATGTTTTAGAGGTAAGGCAACTTGTCTACTTTTTGCATGTTATTAGTCTATATTCTTTGGTGCATTATTTAATCAAAAAAAATTATTAAGTGCATTACTATAAGAAATCAGGCTTAACTGTCCTTGACAGTCAAGGGCAAGAAAAAAAAGATTGGATAAGTACTTTATTTCTTGTTTATCATATTTATTATTATAAAAGTAACTAAAATCTAAAAATATGTTTCTTTTAAGTTATGCAAGACTAGATTAGGTAAAATAAGTAATAATAATATAATTAAAATGATTCATGAGACTTGCATGCGAGCAGCTCGTGGGTAATGTAATTCGATAGCATATCATGAGCTGCACATCCCCGAGTGATTTACAACTTATAATGGCAAGGATAGTAGTTACACACCGTTCAAAGGGCAATAAAATTTAATTATATATAGATGTATACTGTTACAAACTTAGAGCTACTTAGAAAAACTAATGTAGTTTCATGTTACTATTTGAAGTCATTCTAGAAAAAAAAAGGGGATAATTTAAATTTATTTCTGGTAGTTACAAGGTTGGTCGAATTGACTGATCCCATTTTGAGATAGGGTAGAGAAAATAAACTATCAAGTTTTACTAAAAAAAAACATTTGAAATGCATATAGGATCTTTCAGGGATTACACAATGGAAATTTGAGAGTTTTGAGATGAGGAAAAGTATTTTTACTTTGCATATGGACTATTCAAAACAAATACTCAATATATTCATGGACAAACCTTTATTTATTTTATTTAAAATACTTCACTAAAAAAATGATTTTTTGTATGCAAAGACTTGTAATATTAAATGAAAGA